GTGTGTGCACACACAGTGCACTGGAGCTGGAGAATTTTGCTTAGCAGTACTCACTGGGCACGGGCAGCATTCAGGCCTTGTGGCTGTTGCCCCTCCCCTGGCTATATGGGCAGCAGTGCTCCAACTCCCCTCCATTCCTTCTCACTGCTCATGGCTGGAGTCGGAGCCCTGTGTGGTTTTCACCTCACAGTTCCTTCTTGGTTACTGAGAGTTTTCTCTGTATATAGTTTAGTTTTTCATAGTTGTATAGCTAGTTAGTCCCTGTGTTAGTGTTAGTAAGTTAGTATAGGTTTCAGAGTAGCAGCCGTGTTAGTCTGTATCTGCAAAAAGAACAGGAGTACTTGTGGCACCTTAGAGACTAACAAAATTTATTTGAACATAAGCTTTCGTGGGCTAAAACCCACTTCATCGGATGCATGCAGTGAAAAATACAGTGTGCAAAATGCAGCCGATGAAGTGGGTTTTAGCCCAGGAAAGCTTATGTTCAAATAAATTTTGTTAGTCTCTAAGGTACCACAAGTACTCCTGTTCTTTTTAAGTTAGTATAGTTAGTTGTCTTGGATAATGCCCTCACCAGGGTTCAAACACTGTCCAGTGTGTGTGTGTGTGTGGGGGGGGGCGATACCCTTAGTGATCCCCACACAAGTGTTTGCTGTGTTTGGGTGAGGGTTTGATTTGTAAATTGTTCTAAAAGGACTCAGGTGGCTAGAGACCTTTGCCTGAAGCAGCACCTCCTCGAGCAGGCCACGAGGACTGTTTCAGCCCCAAGGCTTGAATCGGATCAACAGTCACCCTCAGGCTCAGTGAGGGACGCCACTCCACGTTCGAGGGCTAGTGTCTCTCCCAAGAGACGGGGGAGCCATTCGCCTCCTCAAGTGCACTGAAGAAAAGATCTCATAAGACCAATCGGTACCACTCCTGGTCTCGTGGAGACTCTTCCTCTAAGAAGAGTATGGACTGGCCTCATGCTACTGCCAGTATGTGCGATGGTGCAGGTCCCTCAAATCGCTGCCTGGTACTGCCTAGAGATGTGCAGGCACCCATACTGTTGACTCTGGTTCCAGCCCTGGGATGTCTGAGTCTGGTACTGACGACAATGATGCCAGCATCGGCTCTCTCCATGCCAGTGGCCTACTGGGTGGCAGCAGATCTACTCTGTCTATTGGTTCTGGACTCCTTGGCACCGACATTGTCTTGGTGGAAGATCCTGTCTTTGATGCCAGCACTGTCCGCTGCGTCAGCACTGCTGCTGACTTCAGTACTGGCACCGCTCCTGGCACGGGATGCAACGGTGATGTATTTGGCTCTGATTGTGCCAGTACCTCTTTCCTGATGGGTAGCAAATGAGTTGGTGTGGCGGGGCAACGACTCACCGGCGCAGCGCCTCCTGCTGGTCGTCTCGGGAATTAGCTCTTTCCAGCCCGGAGCGCCCTCAGCAGGCATTGATGTCCAAGTACAATTTTATTAATTGGACAGCTATGTCTAAATTTGTAGAACACTTTCTTGAAGTCTCCAGGGAGGAATTTCGAGTGCTGATAGCTGAGTGCTGTTTGGGGCCAAGACATCCTTCCACTCAGCTTTGGACATGGCAGATACATCGGCCAGAGTTATAGCCTCAGTAGTAACCATGAAAAGGGTGTCTTGGCTGCAAAATTCGGGCATTGCTTCCAATGTGCTGCAGACTCTTGAGGACCTGCCCTTCGGTGGCTTTTTCAGATAAGACTGCTGAAACCTTGCACTTGTTTAAAGACTCGAGAGCTCTCTGGGAGTATATACTCCAGAGGTGCGCAGACACCATTTTGACAGTCAGCAGCAGCATCAACAGTACTGCCCACAATGGTCCTTTGGGCAGACCTTCCCTTCCCTGAGGCAGCGAGACTACCTGAGAAAGGCAGAGGCCTTTGGGTTCTGGGTTCAGCCAGTCGACTTGTCCTCCCCTGGCATTTACCCAGGAGCTGGAAATGGGCGACAGAGGATGGCTCACTTGATGATTACATGCTCTGTTCATTCCCTCTCAAGCACCTGCCATTGGCCAGTGTCGGAAGACAGGATACTGGGCTAGATGGACCTTGGTCTGACCCAGTCTGGCTGTTCTTATGTTATTATCAAGTGCTCGTTTTGACTTATACATCCACGGCAGCAATGCAGTTGTGACTTCTATATCCCCATTCCCCCCTCCCCCCTTCAGCTTGTTTTCACGCTATCTGGGGCTCAATTACCACCTACAGCTGGGTCCTGAGCACTGTCAGATTGGGTTATGCCATCCTGTTCCTTTCTGTCCCTCCTCCTCACGCATTACCCTGTCTCTCTTCAGGGACCCGTCTCACAAGACACTGCTCCTCGAGCAGGTTCAGTCTCTACTAGCATTAGGAGCTGTGGAGGAGGTCCCTCAGTAGCATCAGGCTGTGGCTGCAGGTTTGTATAATTTTTGGTGGTGCCCAGAATGGGTCCAAGTCTCGCCCCCACCACACCTGCCTAAGGCTCTGGGAGGGAGTTTGGGTGCAGGGGGCAGGCTTTGGGCTGGGGCAGAGGGTTGGGTGCAGGAGAGGGTGAGGGGTGTGGTGCTTATGTTGGGTGGATCCTGAAAGCAACCCGTACACCCCTCTTGCAGCGGCTCCTAGGCGGGGGGGCCGGGAGGTCTCAGCGCGCCGCTGCCCACAGGCACCGCTCCCGTTGGCCACGGTTCCCGGCCAATGGGAGCTGCGGAGTCAGCACTCGAGGCGGGGGCAGCATATGGAGACACTCCCCCTGGGGCCGTAGGGCCGTTCCGGCTGCTTCCAGGAGTGGCACGGAGCCACGTTAGCCTCGCTGCGCTGTCGGTGGTAGCTGGGAGCCCCCAGGCCCTTCTAAATTGCCCGGGGGTGGCAGGCGGGGCCGGGGAAGAGACCCAACCCCAAACATTGATGGAGCCAGGCTCCCAGGACCTGAATGTTCCTGGAGCACGGACACCACGGGCCCATATAACTCGCCGCCCCTGGCACCAGGGCCAAGGGTTTTATTTCTGTATTTTCTGGTTCCCAAATCCAAAGGAGGGGTGAGACCTAGTCTCAATCTGCACAACCTCAACAGATATATCAGATACACGATATTCCGGGTGATCACCCTATCAACAGTCCTCCCACATTAAATCAGAATGACTGGTTTGCTGCTCTGGACCTTCAGAACACTTCCTTTCAGGGGATGATTCTCCTGAGCCACAGACGGTTTCTCCAGTTCATAGTGGCACACTGACATTATCAGTATGCAGTAATCCCCTTTGGCCTTCTCTCTGCGTGGTTATAGTGACAGCCTACCTCAGGAAGGGGGAAATTCATATCTTCCCGTACCTGGGCAATTGGTTACTGAAGGGCAGGTCCAGGGAAGAAGTTCAGTCTCGTGTACGTGCACACTACGCTTACTCAATCACCTGGGTCTCATTCTCAACAGAGAACTCAATGTTGCTCCGCACTTCAAGAATTTAGTTCTTTGCGGCTTAATAGATTCTACAAGTCCGAGAGCTCTTCTGCCAACAGACAGTTTTGAGGCAATTCTTCGTCTGTGTCTACAGCTTGAGTGTGCCTAAGGCTGTTGGATCACATGGCTGCTTGCGCACAGGTGGTACAGTTTGCGGCTTCGCCCTCTCCAGATGTGGCTGGCGACAGTTTATTGTCCAACCCATCACCCTTTGGACTGATTGGTCTGGCTCCCCCATTGATCCTGGATTCCTTATGGTGGTGGACAGTTAAGGGTAATGCCAAGGAGATCCCCTTGCTTGGTCGCCATTGACCAGGACCATTGTCACCGATGTTTCCTGGGGAGGCTGGGGTTGCTGAGAGTTCAGGATCTGTGGTCCAAGCAGGAAGCTCTGTTTTTTTTCATATCAACATTCTGGAGCTTCAGGCCAATTACAATGCATGCCACGCCTTTCAAGGTTGTATCAGAGGTCTAGCTATTCATTCTTATGGACAATACCACCGTGATGTATTATGTGAACAGACAAAGAGGAGCACACTCAAGAGTGCTGTGTCAGGAAGCAATCAGGCTTTGGCAGTTTTGCATCGGAGAGAATGTTACTCTGGGAGTCGATCATTTACCTGGGGCCCAGAATCAACTTGTGGATCTCCTCAGTAAGAATTTGTCCCTCAGTCACAAGTGGTCTCTGAAGTCTAGTGTCCTGTGGTCCATCTTTGCAATGTGGGGCATTCCTATGATCAGTCTGTTTTGCTCTCAAGGGGGCCTCACCAACACCTTTCACGTAGCTAGGGAATCAGCACGCCTGTATGGTTTCCATTCTGATTCCAATTATCCCACAGGTAATCTTCAAACTCAAATTAGACCATGTCATGGTCATCCTCATTGCTCCAGCATGGCCGAGGCGATGCTGCTTCTCTGACCTTCTGGGGTTTTCAATTCAGCCTTCCATATCTTTTTCTTCATCCTTACCTCCATACTCACAATCATAGTCAGCATCCAGCACTTAGCTCTCTACATGTCACCGCATGGCTGCTCCATGGTTAAATGAGGAGGAGGAACAATGTTTGGAGGCTGTTGGACAGGTTTTATTCAATAGTAGGAAACACTCCACCAGACTAGCCTGTTTGGCTAAATGGAAACATTTTTTGGTGTGGTGATTGGCTCATGGGGTTCAACTGATGTTAACTGGGATTCAGGACATCATGGAATACTTGTCGCATCTACAGGTCTTGCATTCAGTTAATTGAAGGTCCACCTGGCTGTAATGTCAGTGTTCATCCACTCATCTATAGGAGATCAGTATTTTCAAACACCATGGTGGCAAGGTTCTTGAAAGGAGTCCTTCCTCTCCACCCACCAGTGAGAGAACCAGTTCCTTTGTGGGATCTCAGTAGTGTCTTGGGGTGCATGGATCAGCATTCACATCACACTCCCCATCAGTACCTGTCCCAAGCTGGGGAAGCTAACGATCCAACCAGTGGACCAAATTTGGTGATGAATCCTGGTCAGATGCCATCTGAGGCACATTGCACGTATGCTCAGAAGAATATTGCGTTAGTGGCTCTGATGGGACCTCCACGAGCTGAAGGGAACAGTCTCTTTGCAAATGATCTCCAGGTGGATAACTTCCTGCATCAAGACTGCATACAAAATAGTGTGAGCTACACCCCCTCAAAGGGCGCAAGCTCACTCTGAGGGCACAGGCTGTGTTGATGGTATTTTTAAGTGACATTTAAGTATTGGACATTTGCAGGATCACCACTTGGTTGTCCGTGCATACGCTTACCAACGGTTATGCCATTACTGTGGCATCCAGAGCAGTTGTGAACTTTGATAGAGCAGTCCTTGTTTAAGTGGACTCTGGGCCCTACCTCTTGCGGGTACTGCATGTGAGTCACCTAAGTGGAATACATGGCTGCATCTACTCAAAGGAATAAATGGTTACTTATGGTAACTGTGATTCCTCAAGATGTGATGCAGACGTGTATTCCACAACCCATTTTCCAACCCTTCTGCATCAGAGTCTGAACTCTTCATGTTCAGTGTGAAGGAACTGATGGGGGTTGAGGTGGCACCGTCTCATATAGCCAAAGGAGGGGCTATGGCCATAATCATAGAATATTAGGGTTGGAAGGGACCTCAGGAGGTATCTAGTCCAATCCCCCTGCTCAAAGCAGGACCAATTCCCAACTAAATCATCCCAGCCAGGGCTTTGTCAAGCCTGACCTTAAAAACCTCTGGGAAGGCGATTCTACCACCTCCCTAGGTAACCCATTCCAGTGCTTCACCACCCTTCTAGTGAAAAAGTTTTTTTCCTAATATCCAACCTAAACCTCCCCCACTGCAACTTGAGACCATTACTCCTTGTTCTGTCATCTGGTACCACTGAGAACAGTCTAGATCCATCCTCTTTGGAACCCCCTTTCAGGTAGTTGAAAGCAGCTATCAAATCCCCCCTCATTCTTCTCTTCTGGAGACTAAACAATCCCAGTTCCCTCAGCCTCTCCTCATAAGTCATGTGCTCCAGCTCCCTAATCATTTTTGTTGCCCTCTGCTGGACTCTTTCCAATTTTTCCACATCCTTCTTGTAGTGTGGGGCCCAAAACTGGACATAGTACTCCAGATGAGGCCTCACCAATGTCGAATAGAGGGGAACGATCACGTCCCTTGATCTGCTGGCAATGCCCCTACTTATACAGCCCAGAATGCCGTTAGCCTTCTTGGCAACAAGGGCACACTGTCGACTCGTATCCAGCTTCTCGTCCACTGTAACCCCTAGGTCCTTTTCTGCAGAACTGCTGCCTAGCCATTCGGTCCCTAGTCTGTAACAGTGCATGGGATTCTTCCGTCCTAAGTGCAGCGCCGCCTCCCTGTGGATATTCCTAGGCAAAATTATCTGGTATGTGAAGAGGCCCGGCCCTAGGGAAAATGGAACCCTGGGTGAACTTGTATTTTGGTGCCCTTTCTTTGAGTTTAAGCGTATTTAGTGATCCACATGCAATTAATATCTAGAATTAGTAAATTGTATAGTACAGGTATGTGTGCTCCACCCCCACCCTCCCCCGCCTTTAACTTCACAGTAAAAAAGCTGTGATTTTTGGGGTAATCTTAGTACTGTGTGTATACATATGCAATTATTTATTACTAGTTCTCCTTTTTGGTTTAAATTATATAAAAGGTTTTTAAATGCTATCTCTGTTTATCTTATAAAGTTGTGGTTGTCTACTATTTTAAAAATGAGATGCAGTAAAAGAATGGCATCTTGGTAACATGTATTTAACTATTTCATTAGTGTATAAAAAGTATAACTATAGGAGTATTAATAACATTCTAATGATGAAAATGTGAATAGCAGTAGACTAATTCTGTGCCATATGTTAAATAATTAATGGCCATACCACTATCACCGTAAACTAGCAAGCAAGTAAAGATTCTTCCACATGCAAGTACAAATTTTCTATTTTGGTATTGGTTTAATGTGGTGATATTTTTTCTTTCTGATTTTTCTTTCTGAAAGGTTTGAAAAAAATCAAACCAATTATCTAGTCATCCTAAACAGGGAATGAGGTGGGTGACCTGTGGGAAAATAATAGCATGGGGCCATGCAATTAAAGATGGCATCATCATGCTGCTCACACCCAAAGAGGACAAATTAACCTTGCATACTCAAAAACTAGCAGCAAGTTAAGGGCCTCACTTTTTATTTATTTTTAAACAATTTTGTATTTCAAGCCAATCCCTGATTCTGGAGGCATAAAGCTCCCTGTATGTTGAGGGACGCACGCCAACAAACACCCTCTGTGTATGTGAGCTAGTTCCTCCTTCTCATGATTGTGGGGGGTGTCCTTCCAATCACCCCCTCTGTGTTTTGGGGGGTGGGAGTAGTCAGGGAGTCCCTCTCAGGCCCTTCTGTGTGGGGTGGTGTCTGTGTAGGCAGAATGGGGAAATCCCCATGGGGTAGCCCCCTATCACCGCTCGAGTGGGGCACTTCTAGTGCTCAGGGTCCCTGCCCTGAAGGGGATAAGGCCCCTCCCTCTGTCTCTGAGAGGCCTCTGCATTAATCCCTTCTGCCAGCTCTCCCCTCAGAGTTGCCACCCTGCAACGTGCTTGTGACTGGTGCCAGGTGGGTCAAGCCAGCCCCTGCCCCACTCCTAAGTCACACCCTTACAGTGGTCACTGCCCGGTCCTCCCTGATTCCCACCAAGAGTCCCTCCCTCCCACCCACAAGGGGACCAAGCTCTGCCCTCTCTATTGTGATTGGCCAGAGGCCCACTCTTCTTCACCTCCTGAGTAGCCAGGTGGACATTCAAGCCCCCACCCACAAGGCCCTGTTCTCTTATCTATCCCCCTTAAAGAGCCTTTCTGAATTGGCCACGTCACTCTGACACCGCCCCATTCAGCTGGCTTCTTCCTCGGATTGGCTCTGGCTTCCCAAGGCCAGGCCCTAACCCACCCCCTCCAATTTACTCTTTTTACAGATTGGTCATGGCCCAGTTCGCGGAGCTCCCATTGGCTTCTTGCACAGTCACTCAGACTGAACTCACCATCCAACACCCTACCCCTGGGGAAAGCGTTGAGGGTCCACAACTGCAGACCCCTGCATTTTGTCTGTGTGTGCTGGCCCCACGCTGGCCTTCCTTCCAGTCCGTACCTCTGCACCTGTGTTCTGTCCAGAACCCAGCCCAGAGCCCCCCCTCCTGGCCTGAGCCCCACGATACCCCCCCCGAGCATAGTGCCCTGGGCAGTTGCCCAGGTCACCCACCCCTAAGGCCGGCCTTGCATGCGCACACCTAACTGGAACACACGTCTGCATCACATTGGAAGAAACACAGCTACAGTAAGTAATCATTTGTTCTCCCTGAATAGACGTTCCCTGACTTTGTGGTTTTGTGTCTCCTAGCTAAGGACAAAAGTGAGAAAATTTTCTCCATGGCCTTTGTGAAGCTGATGAGACCTGATGGTACAACCCTGCATGACGGTGAACATGACCTCATTCTATATAAGGTATTGGTGGGCCCAGGCAAATCTGTCTGTCTGTTCAGAATAAAGGAGACCACAAAGAAGATGCATCTTCTCCCTCCAGACTATTTATTTATGCAGGGCATGGGAGCTTAGGGAGTCTACTCTTTATGAGTGCAAGCTTTTTAGACTGCCCCCCCAACACAGCCCTTCCAGATGCTTCCCAGGACTTCCCATTGTCCCTTCTACCCTCTGATCCTCTAGGGCTCTGTTTCCCCCAGCTGTTGTCCATTTTCTTCGCTTTCTCCAGCCTCCATTCTGCTCTTTTGCAGTGGCCCTGTACATGCCTATTGCAGTCTTTCTGTTACGATGCAGAGCAGTCATGTCTATAAATTGTAGCTTCGTTTTCTGGCACATTTTTGGGTTGTCTTCAATAGAAATGAATGGTTTCGATTAAGAAATTAGTTAATTTGGCTGCATAATTCAGCACTTCTATGCCACAGCAGTTGAGGATTCTTATTAGAGCATGGATAGAAATTTCATGCTCTAATAAGAATATAACATTAGGGATCTATTATAGACCATCTGACCAGGACAGTGATAGTGATGATGAAATGCTATCAAAATTAAGAACCCAATAATAGTGGGGGATTTCAATTATCCCCATATTGACTGGGAACATTTCACTTCAGGACGAAATGCAGAGATAAAATTTCTCGATACTTTAAATGACTGCTTCATGGAGCAGCTGGTACGGGAACCCACAAGGGGAGAGGCAACTCTAGATTTTGTCCTGAGTCGAGCGCAGGAGCTGGTCCAAGAGGTAACTATAGCAGGACCGCTTGGAAATAGTGACCATAATACAATAGCGTTCAACATCCCTGTGGTGGGAAGAACATCTCAACAGCCCAACACTGTGGCATTTAATTTCAAAAGGGGGAACTATGCAAAAATGAGGGGGTTAGTTAAACAGAAGTTAAAAAGTACAGTGACTAAAGTGAAATCCCTGCAAGCTGCATGGACGTTTTTTAAAGACACCATAATAGAGGCCCAACTTCAATGTATACCCCAAATTAAGAAACACAGTAAAAGAACTAAAAAAGAGCCACT